TTTTTGACAAATAAAGCCATAAACATAGAACACTTCCAACTATTATAATTTTGGTTGGCGAGAGGCCGAGTAACCAGCAACATACAAGTATTATCGGATTGATGAAGATAACAGGATTGGCGCCATTATCAAAGAAGCCGTTTACATCACCCATAGCGAGGAAAAAGAGATTAAAGCAACAAAGAAGAGAACTTAGAAAGATAACGAATATAGAAAATCATCTGATACCATGCAAAGAAATCTTTTATTATATCTCGAAGAACAATGAAGTCCAACGAGAAGGAATCAATCCTCTTTACATAATAATACAGACTGAAGTAAACTGCCTAACAGAAAATTAACTTCTGTATATTCCTTAATATCCCTATATCTGACACTCCACCTCTAGACAACATGAAAATGGAGTAATTACTTGTTTTTTTTTCTTCAAGGCCCACACACGTATGCTTCTCATCACTAACATTTATGGCATACAGCATGAAGTTGGTTCAAGTTCTTAAAATAATAAATGAATTCAATTACTTGTTTTTTAAGATTCACTTCAATTCAAGTGAAGTATATGATTTGGTAATCATTTAGACTTTGTATGAAGAGATGAAACATTAAGGGTGAAAATATAATTGACAACATGCAGTTTAAGGTCTAATTTTTAAATAATGAAAGATTTTGTTCCGTCAACGGTTACTATACCATATAAGTGTAAGTTTAGTTTGTACTTTTATTCAATATATTTTAATTTTTGTACTTTCGAATTTTGAAATTTTAATCTTATTTAAATAATATAAAGATAATATTATTAAATTACAATGTTTTAAAATAATAAAAGTGAAGAATAAGAACTAAGAGTGCGTTTGGTTCACGGAATGTAAGATTACCAGTGGGAATAAAAGATTACCAGGGAATAAGATTACTGAGAATGTTACATTACTGTGTTTGGTTGGTTTGGCAGGAATGTAAGATTACAGTGTTTTGTTGAAGGAATAAAAGATTACTGGAATGTATATTTTATCAAATTGTCCTTGTTCTATATTTGCTTTTTTAACAAATGAAATTCTAAATATTTATATAAAAATTATATTTGTTGATAATATATTACTTGAGTATTTAAATATATCATGTCTGATTTTAATTTTAATTAATATTAAATTTTATATAATTTATGTAAAAATATATTAAAATTTTACATAAACATTTAACTAAATGTTTATATTGTGGAAATTCTTCATAGATATTCATAATAATAAAAAGATGTAAATTATTTTTGTTATCTAAGATATAATATTTATTATATCTTCTATATACAATAATTTATTTATTTATCTTTTATATTTATACTTAATTCTGCATACTTTATCATTATTATTTATCTCATTAATTTATATTACAAAAACATAATTCAAATAAGTAAGAAAATATAACACTAAAAATCATATTGTCTATAATTCTATATTTCACCGTCATTCATCATTATCTTTGCTAATATTTTAATAAAATTATTAATACTCGGTTCAAATCTGATTTGTACTTAACTCTTGATTACGAAAAGCAAGCAAGCCAATAATATTCAATCCTAATCTAATTTGTACTTAACTCAGCCATAAAATAACTTGTTCATCCGTCTTTTTTATTTCAATTTTGGTTTTTAAGTACAATTTTTCGAATTTCCAATTTTATAACCACTAGATCAGCCGACTCTCAATTGAATTGGTTCGATTGATTGAATTAAAGACCTCGACCTTGTTTGGATGTGCGTAACAGACTAACAGAGAAGTGCAAGCTTTGAGGAGGCCGGGGAATGCGTGGGAATCTGGGTGTGTTGGATTTGAGCGTGGATATGCAGGTGGCGAGGACTTCATTGTGGGATCATTGTGAGGAGAAACTGATTTAACGAAAGACTCAAACTCGTGTACTTGAGGTTAATTTTCCAACCGAACAATAAGAATCGAATTTCAGATCAAACAATTACAATTTTATTAGCATTATTTAGAAGGAATAAACAAGTTAAATGGATTCTACTATCAGTCAGTGTAGTATTTCTCTCGGATCAAACCACATCAACCCGGTGTAACAAAATAACAACCCGATGATTATGTTTAATAACAATGCAACGTTTCATTTCTTCTTTGGATATTCCCTTGCCCCAAAGATGGTTGATCCAACTCTGAAATTGGTACTGCCCATTTCAATCTGCGGAAACAATGAGACAATCCATTAGACAATCGTTCTCTCGTAAGCTTTAAAATAATTGAATGCTACTTCTATGGGGTTTGGTTAGGGAATATGACACAATAGGTACATGAGTATAAAGGTACAACCCTACAAGAGTTCTCGAAATATATGAGAAACTTCGAAAAAAAATTAAGTATACTCATATCTAACACACCCAAATTTGACTAACATAGCATGGTTTTGTGCATGGCTAAAGCATAGACAAAGCCAATTGCATACAAACATAAAGTTTTCCTTATCTAGATGGTAATGGGAAAACAATCCTTATAGCTAGCTCAAAGTCGCCAGACATTCTCATTGACAGTTCACATTGTTCTTCTGGTATTCCAAGAGCCTTGCAGACTTCACTTTGGCAATTTTTTAATGTCTGGATATCAAATAAATATTGTTAGAAAAATAAAGAATCGATTGAAAAGGATGGAAAACCCGAGATAAGAAGTTCAACCACCTTGAAATTCTCCGGAGTAGATGTATAATCAGGCATCCCGATTGTCATCAATCCACAAAATTGAAGATTCGGGAAATTTAGACTAACATGTTTTGCAAGTTCCACACAACCTGAAGGCTCAACACCAGATTTTGCTGCAATAACATGATGCAGGAAAATACTATGAAAACGATCTCCAAGTGTTGATAAAAGAAGCTTCTTTGTCAGCAAAATATACTTGACCTAATCTAACTAGGTACTTAGCCCCAATGAACTAGGTTCCAATAGCCATGTTGATAGAGCATAGTACGGAACTAGAAGCTAAAGAAACAAGACCAGTTTTATCTAGCAAACTTAAAGACAAATACATGACAACACGCTTGAACGTGCAAAGCCTTGACACAACTCAACGAAAAACAATATATTTTCGTTGTAATAAAAATAAATTTACTAAATTTACTTACATTCCTCTCCACTGGTGTTCACCTGGACTAAGACTTTCAAAGTTTCTAACCGCACGATTAAGATGATTTGTAATCTGGCCCAAAATAAGGAAGATGCTCAGTTTAATGAGGAAAAAACACAAATACTTGGCCACATTATGAATGTTGTTATTGACACTATCAATTGAAAGCTTTGACATAATGATTAATGATATAAGAAAACAAAATTATATAAGTCATTCTCGCTAAAACTAGATTCAAAATTAGGTATAAATTAATTAAAAAATTTGTCTCTAATTCTGTCTCCAATACATAAAGGAACAGTTTATAGCAATTATACTAATGGAAATGAACAGAATTACCTTCTCATCATCTACAGTTTCCACCATGGCGAGGTTCGGCACAGCAGCTGTATAACAATGAATAATAAGTAAACACACAACAAACATTGCCCTCCAGCAAAACCAAATGAAGTAAAAGTTCAATTTCAGATACCCCATTAAAAAAGCTCAGCTTAAAAGCAGTAATAATAAACTATGATGTAAACACGGACATTTTATTCGAAAGTTCCTAAAAACACGTAGCTTTGCTTACCAATCAAAGGCTTCAATTTATTGCTCTGCAAATTCCAAATAAAATGCCACTCTATGTCATCCGAAAGTTGTGATTGCAAGCACGGAAATGATTATTACTTCGGTACTTTATCATTTTCAAAATAGAAATGATTTTTTTTACTAGTTTGATGCTTTTTCTTTTGAATGAAGTGGAGGAAGAACCTGAGGGGCTTTCTCAACAAGTTCTTGGACGTAGTTTTCGCCGAAACATCGATGACCGGCGTCGTACACTTGGCGAACGAGGGAGACGGGTTTCGTTTACTGACGGCAACTACGCGAATCCGCTGCGATTCACGACCACATCGCTCGGCGACCTGTTGGACTCTCTGGAGAACTGACCGGAGAGCCGACGTTGCTATTCCGTCAATCGTCGCCGACGAGGCTGCCATCTCTTGTTCTCGTTGATGTTGTGGGTAGAGATCCGGTTTGGACTCTTCCAGATTGTTCATCAGTATTTGTGATTCTTATTTCCTTCGCTATTGACTGTATTGTCCAAACCTAATTAATCTCAAGAAAATGTGTTTTCCATGAAAGAGGTTTACAGATCATCTAAAGAAGAACCGAAAAGATGAAACTAAAGAGAGGGAAGGAAATAACAAAGAGAACGCGAAGGCAAAAACAACGCTTGGGAGAAAATGAAGGGTATTTTATCCCAGCACATGGGAATAAAATAATACTTAAGAAAAGTAAGGGATTAACATTCCCGTAAAAGGAGAGAATTTTTTACTGTTGGAAATATATCATTACTCCTTATTGAGAATATTTTCCATCCAAACATGAGAATTTGAATCTGAAAAAAAAATGCCATCAGGAATCTTGAATTCTATAATCCAATCACTCCCTAAATCTATAACTATAACCCACATAACTAAATATAAAGTCACTTACTATAGAGTATTACTTTGTTGAGTCTTTTAATTATTAAAAGTTACAAATGATCTTTCGACTATAAGATAATATTTTATTGAATCTCTTGATTGTTAAAAATTATAAAATAATCATTGATTATTCATATGTTCGAAATTCATTCTTTTTTTGTTTAAAAAAGGTTTAAATACCCCTATTACCCCTAAACTATATCATTTGTATCGAATTGTTCTTTAAAACATTTTTTGAGACGTTTTTCTTCCTTAACTATAAATTATTATCTCGTTTATCTCAAAACGTTAACAGCGTTAAAAATAAAATTAATGAACAAATCAAAACATGCAACATCATCCTTTAATATTTATTTTCTTTATTTAAATAAATAAAAATTAATTAAAAATAAAAGATGATAGCCCTAAATTACCCCTCTTCTCCCACACTTATCAGACTCTCTCCTTCCTCATTCCCTCTTCGCTCTTTTTCCTTCACTCTGTAGCTTAATCCTTCGTCTGAGCCGATCCTACAAGAACTGAACTTATCAGCCTTCATTTCATCCCTCGTAAGAGCCGATCTTCCGGGGAGGGTTTTGTCCTGATTGATGGCAACAGTGAGTTCATCGAAAGAATACCTCGGATCATCAAATGACAGTCTTCCGAACCCGTAATCGGCAATTTTTGACTGGGTTTCTCTGTATTGTGTACCTAAGGGCTTCTCGACTGGTAATCTCGCGGACCCACATCCAATTCTACTCTTTTTAAGCTTTTGTTTCTGCCTCCATTTTTGTAATTTCTTGCTGAAAACTGAAGCGGCTGACTAGAAACTCCCAATAATCTCTTCGAAATCTTGGCCGAACGTTTTCTTCGTTTGTGAATCAAGATCTATATTGTCCTTCATGGGCTTTAGCTCCTCTTCTTGACACAGTTTCTCTTCGTATTCTTCCACAACAGCTCGTCGATTGCGATCATGAGGTTCGATATTTAACCCTAGTTTTTTTCTATTTTAATGAATGTCATAACTACTTATGTTGTCGAAAACGAAAGAATCGATGAACATGATAAGAAAAAAATAAAATATAATTTCAATTTTTTCTTGTAATTATTGTTTGGGAAATGAAAGGAGGAGAGTGGAACAAGATAATAATATAAGGTGAGGAAGAAGGGACTGCAGAGCAAATACTTGAAGGTGAAGGACTTGGGGAAGATAATGAGGAAAAACGAAGAAGAAGAAGAAGTGGACAACGATGATGAGGAAAAAGGAGAAGAACAAGAGGAAGATAATGAAGATGAAGAAGAACACATGATTAAGCTTGATGATGGGTTTTATGAGATTGAAGCTATTCGTTGTAAAAGGGTTCTGGAAATTTCTTCCTTTTTGACTTTGTTTTTGTCTAATTTTCTCGCTAACCAAACTGATGGTATAGAGGAAAATATGGTTCCAAATTGAATTTGTGTTGGTTAGGAAAAAGAAAATTTGGGGTGAGGTGGTGAAGAAGGATAATTTCGGTATTTATTTTATTAATTGATTTTTATTTATTTGGATAAAGAAAATAAATATTAAAGGATGATGTGGCATGTTTTGATTGGTCTGTGAATTTTTTTTAACGGTATTAACGTTTGGGATAAACGAGATAACGATTTATAGTAAAGGAGTAAAACGTTTCAAAAAAATATTTTAAGGGGTAATTCGGTACAAATAGTATAATTCAAAGAATAATGGGATATTTAACTCTTAAAAAATATCATTTAAGCTAGATGTTAATTTGTTGGTGTAGATATGATAAAATATGATTTTAAAATCGTTTGAGCTATATAATTGTTTGAGATTCAGATATCAGATTTTATCATATCTTAGTCAACAGATTAACATTCAACAAAAAAAATTATAATTGTTTTAATGAAAAATGATGTGTTTGGAATACATTAATAGTCGGATGATCATTTTGTGATTTTTAATAACATAATGATTTAACAAAATATCAACCTATAATTAAGTAATTATTTTATAATTTTTAATAATTAAAAGATTCAACAAAATAACATCTTATAATTAAAAGATCGTTTGTGTAATTTTAGCCGAGTGGTTTAACAATATGATCAAGTGTTGCAATAATATTGATTGCTTTAGATAGTAATAAGAAGCCTTCTCTCAAGCAAATTGCCACCTGTACCTTGTCTCTGTTCAAATCCAATCAATTTCATGACCTTCCTGTCACTTATCCATGGGGACAATCTCATCAATGTAGCTCTCAATGAATGCAAAACCATGTGATGGTAGGAGAGACATACATCATATTTTGATTATCCTACTAGTTTTTTCTATTGGCACATGGAGTTTGAATGTAAAGAGAACATCGTCCTACTAGTTTTATACAAAATAAACCATGAGTCACAAGATGAACAATGAAGACTGTGTACTTGAAGAAGAATGAATCTTAGGGCAATATTATAGGACCATGACTTGATAGACCAAACTCTTCATCAAACAACTTTAAGAGTTCAACAAATATGTTATTGCTGAGATATGACTAGGGCATGACATAGTGCTTCTGATCTGTGGTGTAGATGACAAAATGACCTTCTTCAGCCACCGAAGATTCACCAACTCACCTGCTATAACTTTTGCACTGGACGTCCCCAGTAAAGAAATTATTTTTCTCCGACAGTCATTTCCTTACCACTATTGCAGCTGCTGATCATTTTGGCTACAATCTTTACCTATAATAAATGTAAGTAGGCCTTTGCTAAAAAAACCCTGAAATAGTATTGAAATTCCTATTGATGGACGAAGCAATCAAAATATTTCTCCACCTATGTGTGTATATATATATATATATATATATATATATATATATATATATATATATATATATATATAATGCAAGATTGGGGATCTGAAATTTTCCTATACTTGAAGTTGTTTGCAAATTTCTTCTCCTCGCCCTGTTGGGATTGCAGATAGCATGTTTTGCATGATATATATATACTTTTTTTCTGCATGTCTGTTATGTTTTCGGATCGAATAAGAAAGAATTTTTTTAGGGATTTAAGAAATGTAGAGAGAAATAGATACAGAAAACTTGCAATTCATTCATAAGACATTCCTTAAAGGATGGGTACAAATTATTTATACTCAGTACCAGCTGTCATAACAGCAAATCTAACAAAATAACCGTTTGAAGCTGACTCACCCTCCAAACAACTCTCCTAAAATGATTCTATTCAAACCAGCCCAACATAGAAGCCCACCTGAACTTATATTGGGTTAAGTATTAAAAACCCATTATGCTCTCCCCTGCCCCCTTCAATCTCGTCTTTACTCTTCCTTCTTATCTCTTTCTCGATTCCCAATCCCCAATTCCACAGATAGGATCTCAATCCCTAACTTCCCTCTCAATCCCTAACTTCATTCGATCTTCCCCCAATTTCTGCTGTGACTTCCCAATTCTTCCCTTCACCGTTTCCCCCAAATCCACACGATCCAACCCTAACTTTCCTGTCATCATAACAATACCCCCTTCTCCAGACGATTCTTGTCCCCAAGGATCAAACTGAGGAAATTATTGTCTCAGTACAGTGTAATCTTCCCAAGTTGCTTCATTTGATCTCATATTTGTCCACTGAATAAGCAGTTGAATGACTGCTCGATTCTGTTTTGTAACCACTCGCTGATCCAAAACTAGGGCTGGATAAATTTTCAGTTGTCCATCCGAAGCGACCTCTGGAGGATCGATCGAGATAAGTCCTTTTTCTCCTACTTTCTTCTTAAGTAAACTGACATGGAAAACTGGATGTATCTTCGAATTTGCTGGCAACTCCAGTTTATAAGCAACTTGACCCACTCTATTTTGTATCTTGTAGGGTCCAAAATAGCGAGCAGCCAGCTTCAAATTTCGTCTTAGGGCTAATGATGTTTGTCTGTATGGCTGGAGCTTCAGGTAAACTTCATCACCAATTTGAAATTCCCTGTCTGTTCGATGTTTGTCACTCATCTGCTTCATTCTGTTGGTAGCTTTAAGTAATTGCTCTCGTAGTAATGAATTTAACTGTTCCCTGTGCTGCATAACATTTTGCACTGCCTCCACTCTAGAGTCTGTTGTCCATGTGACATTAGGAGCTTTATATCCATATAAAGCTTCAAATGGTGTCATTTGAAGAGCAGAGTGGTAATTAGTATTGTACCACCACTCAGCTTGAGCTAACCATTTGGACCAAGTCTTTGGTTTCAAAAAACACATACACCTCAAATATTGTTCTAAACACTGATTTAACCTCTCTGTCTGGCCATCTGTCTCAGGATGATAGGCAGTACTAAATAAAGTAGTTGACCCCAATTGCTTCATTAATTCTTGTCAAAACAGACTAGTAAAAGACTTATCCCTATCAGATATAGCCACCTTAGGAGGACCATGTAACTTGTAAACCTGATCAAGATAAACTCTAGCCACCTCCACTACTTCAATGAAGTCCATTGTAATCACTTCCCAAGCATTGTTTGGGACTGCAATAGGCTGTAACAATCCTGGTTTAGAAATATGTTCTATTTTTGTCCTCTGACACACATCACACTGCTGTATATGTTCTTGAACTTGAACTTTCATCCTTGGCCAGAAAAAATAAGACTTAATTTTCTGATAAGTAGCTTGAATGCCTGAGTGACCTCCTTGTGGTGAATCATGCAAAGCTTCAATTATTTTCTGCCTCAAATCCCCCTTACTGCCCACATAAATTCTATTTTTGAAATACAAAATTCCTTTCGATAATTTCCAGTCCTGTAATTCATCTGGCTTAATAACCAGAATAGGAAATTTTTCTTGGGCTATAACATCTTCTTCATAACTCTTTTCAATATCTTGTACCCAAGTAGGAGTTATAACAGTAACTCTCATTTGAACAAATTCACCAGAATCCATTTGTTGTCTAGAGAGTGCATCTGCTGCTTTATTAGACTTACCCTTTCTGTACTGAATAATATAATCCAACCCCAATAACTTTGTAAGTCCTTTCTTCTGGATAGTTGTAGTTAACTTCTGATCAAGTAAGTGTTTTAAGGATTCATGGTCTGTTTTAATGACAAAAGATCCACTCTCCAAATAATGCCTCCAATGAGAAACTGCCATCAAAATGGCCAAATACTCTTTCTCATAGATTGAAAGATCTGCATGCTTAGGACCTAGAGCTTTACTCAGATATGCTATAGGTCTCCCTGCTTGAGAAAGAACAGCTCCAATCCCTTTTGAACTAGCATCAGTTTCCAGAAAAAATTTCTGCTCAAAATTAGGCAAAGCCAACACAGGAGCATTACACATAACTTTCTTTAGCTTTTCAAAAGCTGTTTTGGCTTCCTCTGACCAACAAAACCCATCCTTTTTCAACATATTAGTTAAGGGCTTACTCAGTTCCCCATATCCTCTTATGAATTTCCTGTAGTAACCAGTTAAGCCTAAAAATCCTCTTAAAGCTTTCAGATTCTTAGGCAAGGGCCACTGTTGCATAGCTTTAATTTTGTTAAGATCTGTTGCCACCCCATCAGCTGATATTAAATGCCCTAGATATTCCACTTGTTGCTGTCCAAAGAAGCACTTACTCCTTTTAGCATATAACCTGTTTTTCAACAGAACTTCCAACACAGTTCTTAAATGCTGTTTATGCTCTGCCAAGCTAGGACTATAAATCAATATATCATCAAAAAATACAAGAACAAACTTCCTTAAATATGCTCCAACACTTTCACCTTATGTTTTAATTCCTCCTTCAGACCACTAATAAAGCTGGACACAAAATAATTCTCCCCCAACTGCATGTTCTGTTGCAATAAATAAGGCCTTAATTCTTCAAACTTTTCTTGATACTCCTCCACACTCCCCTTCTGCATCAACTTATTGAATTCTTCAATAATATCAGAATAATTTCTATCACAAAATCTGTGACACAAATCAGCCTCAAATTCATGCCATGTCACTCTATACTTTTGCATAATGTACCCATCAAACCACGTCTCAGCCTTTCCAACTAAATACATAGCAGCTATTTCCAGTTTCTGCTCCTCATGTATTCCGAACAGATTAAAAAATTTCTGACATTTCCTGACCCAACCCCTCGGATTATTACCCTCAAACAATGGTAATTCCACTTTTGGTCTAGGTAATACAGAACTAGGATTCCCAAAAGGATTTTTACAGTAGTTTCTAGTATCAACATGCTCATCTCCTCCCTTACTCTCACTAGAACTACCCATAAGCTTCTCTTCTTGCATCTTCTGATTAAAAATTGGAGGTCCAGTAAACCCCACAGGTTTAGAGGCTAGAATCCCAGGTTCATTAGGTTGAAATGTGTACTTCTCATTTTCACTAAGAACCGTAATTAAGCATGGTACTTTACCTTCACTTTTGTTCTGTTTCTCCTCTGCTGGTGGTTGGTTCTTCACTGACTTAGGTGAATCTTTTTCCTCCGCTGCCTGATTAACCAGCTGTAATATCCTCTGTAAATACCCTCTATTCTCAGTCATACCTTCTTCTAAGGTTTGTATCCTTTCTTCCAGCTCTGCCTTCTGCCCAGCCCACCAAGATGGTAAGGTCTCCTCCTCCTCCAATGCTACTTGTTCTGGTACCTCTGTGGTCCCAGTTTTCTGCATTTTTCTTGTCTTTCCCAGTGTGAACAATTGATTTTGGATCAAAAAACTCAGCTCTGATTACCAATTGTTATGTTTTCGGATCGAATAAGAAAGAATTTTTTTAGGGATTTAAGAAATGTAGAGAGAAATAGATACATAAAACTTGCAATTCATTCATAAGATATTCCTTAAAGGATGGGTACAAATTATTTATACTCAGTACCAGCTGTCATAACAGCAAATCTAACAAAATAACCGTTTGAAGCTGACTCACCCTCCAAACAACTCTCCTAAAATGATTCTATTCAAACCAGCCCAACATAGAAGCCCACCTGAACTTATATTGGGTTAAGTATTAAAAACCCATTATGCTCTCCCCTGCCCCCTTCAATCTCGTCTTTACTCTTCCTTCTTATCTCTTTCTCGATTCTCAATCCCCAATTCCACAGATAGGATCTCAATCCCTAGCTTCCCTCTCAATCCCTAACTTCATTCGATCTTCCCCTAATTTCTGCTGTGACTTCCCAATTCTTCCCTTCACCGTTTCCCCCAAATCCACACGATCCAACCCTAACTTTCCTGTCATCATAACAATGTCCTCCGACATGTTGAAGAGTTTCCGAAAAATACCATTCTTAAGATATGCTTAGGGCATCACAAACAGTTATATATTGTAAGGCTAGATATTTGCTCTGCATTTGTTGTTCCATCACTTGCATGGTTATATGTGAAACTATGCTTTGGCACATGTAAAAATTGATGCTAGATTAATATCATGTAAGGCTAGATATTTCAAGTGCATCATAAAGCGAAAGGAAATTAACTTTCTGAGATTGAAAGAACTGAAAAGAGACAGGTGATTACTGAAAATGAAACATCTTCTGGTAAGAATCATATCATTTTGAGGAAACATCCTTTGTTAATACACTGTTACTTTGAACAAAATACACCTAGAATGAGAAGTTTTTGTATAGCAGAATTATATAGAAGACGACTAAGCATATTTACTTAGAATCAGCAAGCAAGTGAATGTGGATCTGCATGTTCTCGATTGAAATATGACGAGCAACAGCAAGCAGTAACGGAATCAATCACTGGTTTCTCCAAATCCTTAGCCAATCTTCGTTTCACAAGGGACACAATGTAATTCCCGAGGACTGAATCACATGGCAAGGCAGCCTTTAACAACTAGTGATGATTTATTAGATTGATTTGCAGCAGCCATATTTGTATTAGCCCTTGCTGAAGCAATTCTGTTTCTTCCCATGGATGCTATGTTCTGCCACTTCATTGTCATTCTAGTAAGCTTCTTTGAGGTATAATGGTTGTTTCCATTTGTGTTGCCGATGAAAACCTTTGAAAAAGTAAAGGAAAAGGGAGATTGATTTTTGTATTGCTAGTACTGATGAGGGAAGAAAGTTACTGTGATGAATTAGTTCTCAGAGTTTCTTTGAAGGGACAACCTTTATGCATTCAAAGTGACATGCTGACAGTCATTAGAGTCTGAATTAGCATTTAGCCAGTCAAATACATGTGGTCATTCTAGCATCTTCCAGCAAATGAATTTGGACCATTTCTCGATTTGTGCGTGTCATCCTTGGTGTGGGATATTTAGTTGGTTCCGAGCTTATCTCATTTGGAAAGGATATTTTTTTGAATTCATTGCTCTACAATCTCAATGTACACAGGCCGTTGTCGAATTGAAAACCAAGTTCTAAAGAACCAGGACTCGTGATGTCGTGTTAATATCAGTTCTGAATTTCTGATTAAGGTTAGAGAATTTGGGAGGGAGAGAATTTGGGAGGGAGAGAATTTGTTAGGCTTTATTTCGCTTCTTTTTTCCTTCAATTTTCTAACAAGAAAAACGGATGTATGATTTCCATGGCAGACAACTGAACTTGAAACAAAGCTCTGAACTTATCTCATTATATATATATACACACATCTTAATGTACAAAGGCGGTGGATGGTTTACAAGGTTGAAAACATATCTTTATAGACGGTTATGCTTTCGGATATCTTAGTAATTAATTTGCTTCACATTCATCTGTCTGTTAATGGCTCCAAGAGATAACTAACACTAAAAGTGAGGTCCCGGTCGCCATTATACTGACATTTTTTAATCGTAGGGTCCGAAATGGTAGAATTTTACTGCAATTCAGTGCTCCGATGGATAGGCTCCAAAGGATGTGTACGGCCCGCACTGAGAGAAAACATACATTAAAACACGACAGATAAATATTTGAGATCAGTTCCTGTATAGTGATAGAGGATTCCAATTCTGAATCTTACATAAATTTTCTAAGCACAACTTTTTAGTAATAATATTAGTTGACATGATAAGTTAGTCTTTGCGTTATATTCTTTGATCTACAAAGGTGTGGATCAATTGAAAGATGAGAAAAATTGCTTCAGAAGCTCAATATTGGCAAGTCTTGGCTCATTTCTTGCTGGTAAAGATATGACGATGAACATCGACCGCTGCTTACTGACATGATCAATGCTTTCTCCACTTCTTTACTCGGTTTCCTTTTGATGAGAGAAATTACATATTCCATAAAGTTTGCATCACAAGGCAAGATGAGATGCCCATCGCCTGGTAGCCCAAACTCTTCTTCTGCCAAGTTGAATAGCTCCATCACAATTTTATTCTTTAAGTATTCCAAAGGAAGCACAAAACGCTTTTGATCCACGCTGTATACAACAAAGTGACCCTTGTCGACCACCGATGATGTACTGCAACTGTTTGTTTCAGCCTCCATGGTGGTTCTTGGTAATGTGATTCCTTTTCTCCTAATTGAAGCCATTTTCTGCCATTTTCTTGCTAGCTTGATAAGCTTCTTGGCACTGATCATCTTGCTTTGCTTAGTTTAGTGGGAAAGACTCAGATGAAAGAAAAGAAGAGGGAACTTTTAGGTCTTAGAACTCTGATTGCTAAATGCAGCTGTTGTGCTTGGTACAAGGCAATGGATTTGAAATGAATATATAATCACAATTCACAAGGCCAAGAGACAATCCCTTTAATGAATTATTAAATTTCAGGTATTCATAGGAAACAAAACCATGTGATGGCAGATATTAGGTCTAATCTGAAAGGTGGAGCATAGAAGGGGATGCATCTATATCTATCTGCCAAGTGGTTTAACAACAATATGGTCCACTGTTGTTGCAATATTATTGATTCTTCATCACAGATTTCAACACTTGTAGGATCCTCTTTAGATAAGATTTATTGCTTCAAATAGTAATAAAAAGCCTTCACTCAAGCAAATTCCCACCTGTCCTTTTTGTCTTGCCAAGTGGTCTAGTTGTCTTGTATGAAATAATCCCTGATCCAAATGACGACGGAGATTATTTCTAGCGTACGGAACATATGATATAAGATGACTACAAGAGTGACGATTTGTTGCCATTTACCCTTCTCTTGTGACCATCTTGATCTTGATCTGAGGTGTAAAAACAAATTTTATCAGTCGGTTCAAAGTAAAACTTCTTCTGCAGGACCTTTTCACAATATGCACAAAAAGGACTAGGATCTGAATCACGGCAAAAAATGTAACGACCAACTAAGTTGCTGATCTATAATGTTCAAAATTGTTTCATATCAATATACAGAGAATTGATTCTATTTCCATATAGAATCAGTGAAAATAGTATATCATTACAAATTTGACTATAACTTGTTTTAGAAGCTACAGGTCAATGAAGGGTGCTTTCTTGATTCTTGCCTTGGTGTAGATACAACAAGGAGACCACAACATGGCGGTTTGAATCTGTGGTGTAGATGACAAAATGACCATTTTCATCCACAGATGGTTCATCAACGCCACCAGCTATAACTTTATCATTAGACGTCCCCAGTAAAGAAAATCTTTTTTTTCCTTGACAATCCTTTTCTGCCATTTTCTAGTTATTCTATTAAGGTTCTTTATGGATATGACTTTAACTCTCAATTATGATGAACACCAAACTGGGTTGGGAGGGTCACCCTTGCCTCTGCAACACCTGATCCGGATTAGTCTATCAATAGATTGGATACCGGTGGTTATACCAAAAAATCAAACTAAGCATACAAATGGAAAGTGTACAGAGATGGAAACTGACCTGCAAAATGTTCACAAGAAAAATTAGTAAAAGATATGTTTAGGCCTCTTCATCGATCTTCCATCATTCTGATCTAACAATGTATGCTGGTATCTTACTAATCCGATTAAAATGGATATATGACATTTGGTACCACAAGAAGGTTCCTTGAAAAGTTCTCTGCTATGTATTTTTTTTCTTCTTCTTTGAAATTAAAAATAAAATGGAGATGTAGGGGATCAAATCCTGTGCCTCTTGCATGCAAAGCGAACACTCTACCATTTGAGCTACATCCCCTGTTCTTTTTATCATTTATTTATTTTACTCTGAATCAATCTACTTCTATATAGGAAAGGTAACTAATTTTGATTATTTAGCAATTTTAGTCAGTCACTATGCTGGAATATATTATCTAGAGATGTCCAATAAAGTTTAAATACAGATTTGAGATTACTGGATTCCTGAAATCCTGAGAGAGCTTTAATATTTTACCTTCATATGTATTTGCAGTTTGCATGAGATGGTAGATGTTACGAAATTAATTCATTTTAGTTATCAAAAAGATCTACTGCATTTCATGAAGTTAGCATTCCACGAAGAATTATCTATACAAGTTTCTTTCATACCCTTCTGGGGTTGAAAATTTCATAATGCTTTACATGGTAAATATGTTCAGAATCTACGGACGAGACACCGTTTTTCGGCGTGTCCTTTATGGAAAATTGTAGTCTATGACGAGCATCCGTGGCCACTGATTGAACTGAGCACTGCTGTCTCCAAATCCTTAGCTAATCCTTGCTGTACCAACAAGACTATGTAACTCACTATGACCGAATTGCACGGTAATGTTAGCTGGACAGTCCGAACTCCTCAGACATCTTGAAAAGTTGATGGAAAATACTGTTATTGAGATATGCCAAGGGAATCACAAAACGCTCCTTATCCATTGTATAGACAACAATATGGCCTTTATCAACGCCTGATTGTTTATTAGAACGATCAGCATTAGCCGTCTTTCGATCAATTCTACTACTTGGTGAAGTAATTCTTTTCCTTCCAATGGCAGTTATCTTCTTCCACTTCCTTGACATTTTGTTGAAGTAACTCTTCCTCTGACAGCTTTAAGAGTTCAACAAATATGTTATTTTTGAGATACTATTAGGGCACGACATGGCGCTTTGAATCTGTGGCGTAGATGACAAAATGACCATTTGCAGCCACTGATTGTTCATCAATGCCACCAGCTATAACTTTTTCATTAGACGTCCCCGGTAAATGAAATCTTTTTCTCCCCTTGACAATCATTCTCTTCCGTTTCCTTGATATTCTATTAAGTTTCTTGCTGCTGCTGATCATTCTGGCTGTAATCTCTACCTAGCAAAAGTAAGTATGTCTTTGCCAAAGAACCCTGAAATGCTACAGAAATTCCTATTGTTGGATGAAACAATCAATTTGTCATTCACCATACAAGATCGAGCATCTAACAAAGTCTTTTACTTGTGGTTTTTGCACTGCTGAGAATTTCTATGCAGTAGTAAAGCTGGTCATTACTATTTTTCTAAGAGTCTAGAAAATTCAATGCTTTGCATTGATATAAACTAAGTGGTAAGATGAGTTGCATCGAATAAATATATTCTCATATGTTGGTTAAAACCTATGTGTTGGAATTCTTATATTCATATGATTCTAAAAAGGACAAAGGATGGATGATTGCCATTGCAGATAACTGAATATGAAACAAAATCTGGACTTTTCTTATTATATGTACAGTGCCATTTGATTTTAGAAACTCAATATTAGCAACTTTTGGCTTGTTTGCAGATAGGGATACGATAATGATGAGCAACAGACACCGACTACTGACATAATCCATGCTTTCTCTACTTCTTTACTTGCTTTCCTTTTGATCAAACAAATAACATACTCCATCAAGGCTGCATCACAAGGCAAGGTGAGATGTTCATTGCCTTGAAGCCCAAACTCCTCTTCTACCAGTTGGAACAACTCCATCACAATTTCGTCCTCCAGATATTCCAATGGAAGCACAAACCGCTTCTCATCAGATCTATACACCACAAAATGACCCTTCTCGACCATTGATGATGTGCTGCAACTGTTAGTGTCAACTTCCCCACTGGTTCTCGAGAGTGATTCTATTTCTCTTGATTGCTGCCAGTTTTTGCCATTTCCTTGCCAATTTGATAAGCTTCTTAGCACTCATCATCTTGTTTCTTTTTTTTTCCAAAAATAAGGGAGGCTATTGTAGGCAAGAGAAAGTAAAGATCGAAGGGAACTGAAAGGTTTTGTTTAGCTGTACTGATGAAAATGGAAAATGGATGAATATATATACACTCACGTCTTGAAAAGCAGTCCTTTGAATGAAGCATTTCAATGCCGGGATTCAAGGGAAGCAAATAAGCAAAACCATATGGGTCGAAAATGTGAGAGATCATTTGGAAGGCAGCCAGTTGTGCATGTCTGGTAAGTAATGGAAGTGGTCCAATCCTTTTTTTCCAGAACCGTGGCATGTGATGTGCAGGACCCAGCATCATAGTTCCCATATGATCTGGATATATTACTTAACAAGAAAATATTACATTTCTAGTTTACTAAGAATCCTTGACTGACGGCTTTAACTAATTTCTGAATTACGCTTTGCCCCCCAACAAACTAATATGATTGAAACATCAATATCTCCAGGCTGTTATGCTTTTAGATATCTCATAATTATTCTACTCCACATTGATCTGTCTGTAAATGGCTCTCATAGATATCTAACAGTGAGATCCTGGTCGCCATCATACTTCATGTACTGGAGTTTTCGTATTGTTGGGTCGAATTTGGTAGAATTTTACGTCAACTCTATGCTCATATGATACTCTCCAAAGGTTTTACCTTCTTTGATTTTCACCTCTGCCTGGACAAGTTGTGTCTAACAAAGTAACAAATCAAAATTTGCTTCCTTGCCCTTTAATTTGTACTCTTCTAAGCTCACCAAAATGGGTGAGGAAGTTTCAGAATGATGCTTCTATGACGTATAAAAAGGGAATTTAATTCTCTCCAATTGAGACAAAAGAAAAGAAAACACATTAGAACATGGCAGATAAAAAATTGAGCTCGGTTCCTGCATATTGACAAATAACAGAGGATTGCGTTTTTATTATATACTAACAGCGGATTCCAATTCTGAATCTTATATACATTTTCTTGGTAAAACTGTTTAGTAATAGTATTAGTTGACTTGATAAGTCACTCTTTCTATTATGAACTTGTATATAAGACGTATATTCCCTATCGAGGTTCAAGAAAAACTAGTATGAGACAAAAAGTTGAAGTTTTTGCATTATATGCTTTAAACTACAAAAGTGTGGACCAATTACAAGACGATAAAAGAAAAATAAATAAATTGCTTCAGAAGCTACATATCAGCAACTGTAGCTTCATTTTTGCTGATAAAGATACGATGAGCAGCAACGACTGGTGCTTACAGACAGGATCAATGCTTTCTCCACTTCTTTAGTTGGTTTCTCTTTTATCAAAGCAATTACATATTGCATAACGTTTGCATCACAAGGCATGAGGAGAATCCCATTGCCTGGTAGTCCAAACTCTTCTTCTGCCAAGTTGAATGGCTCCATCACAATGTTGTTCTTTAGATATTCCAAAGGAAGCACAAAGCGCTTCTGATCCACACTGTATAAAACAAAGTGACCCCTGTCGACCACTGATGATGTGCTGCAACTGTTTGTTTCAGAATCCCTCAAGTTTCTTGGTAATGTGATTCTTTTTCTCCTAATAGACGCCATTTTTTGCCATCTTTTTGTTAACTTGATAAGCTTTTTAGCACCGATCATCTTGCTTTGCTTGGTTTAGTAGGAAGGTCTCTGAGACGAAAGAAAGAAAAAAAAGGCAATTTTTAGGTCTTAGAACTCAGATTGCTAAATGCAGTTGTTATGCTTGATGTAAGGCAATGCAACTGTGATGAACATATATAATCACAAGGCTAGAGCATGGTTTCAAATCGCGGTCATGTTTTCGTTCATTTCGGATTTACCCTGATTGTGGCCGCCGCGGGCGCTATTGCGGGTGTAGCGGGTAACTCGGACAGCGGCGAAACTGCTATTTCGCGGACGAAATCACATTTTCGGACCATGATTTGAAACCCTGGGCTAGAGACAACCTCTTTAATGAACTAGTAGAATTCAGGTATTCATAGGAAACAAATCCATGAAATGGCAGCTATGAGGGATAATCTGCAAGGGGGCATGCCTGTTTTTAGTGAATGATTAAACCATCAAGGCGGAGCATAGAAGTGCATGCAGACAGATCTTTACCCATCAGCCAAGTGGTTTAACAACAATACGGTCCAGTGTTGCAATAATATTGGCTCATGATTTGATAACCGATTTCATTTAGGATCCTCTTTACATAAGATTAATTACTTTAAATAGTAATAAGAAACCTTCACTCAAGAAAATTGCAACCTATTTTCTTGTCTCTTCAAATCCAAACATTCTCATTACCTTCATGTCACTTACCCATGGGGACAATCTATTCAATGTAGTCCTGAATGAAGATTTGAGGGATGCACAACCATGAAATGGTAAGAGAGAAATACATCATGTTTTGATCGTCCTATTTGTTTCTTCTATTGGCACGTGGAGTTTGAATGCAGAGAGGGGACTGACTTTTTTGTGTTGCCAAGTGATCTAGTTTTCTTATATGAAACAAACCCTGATTTCACAACATGAAGGAGATTATTTCTTGTATCTGGAACATATAAAATGACAGCAAGAGTGAAGATTTCATGCAGTGTACCTTTGACTGTGGCCATCTTGGTCTCTGAGGTGTAAAAACAATTCTGATCAGTCAGTCCTTGACCGGCTAACAATCTAATCCTAGTTTAGTAATTTTTAGCAATGCCTTTCAAGGTATGCACAAAAAATACTAGATCCAATTCGATGGAGATGGTGGATCTATAAATTGCTAATCTATGTTGTCATAAACCGGACAGTTCTCAGTAAAAAGCACTCTGAATTGCTAATCTTTGCTCTAAGCAGGTTTATATAATGAAGAGTTTTACTATTTTGATTCAAATGGATGTAGGATAATTCATAGATTCCAACTACACAGTGAAGATGAATTACCTCATGTCACACTGAGCAAGGTTTCTATAAGTTAGACAGCTAAAACTAAAGGCTGAAGCTGAATTAGTTCAGGTCACATAGAGAATTTATTTGAAGGGTCAACCTTTATGCATTCAAAGTGATAAACTGACAGTCATTAGAGTCTGAATCAGCAACAGAAATACACGAAATTCTGGTTATTCTAATAAATCATATTCACTGCCGAAATAAACTTAAAATCCACAAGCTAATTCAGCAAACCATCTGAAATCCCTAACAATGAGTGTCGAAATCATATTCCCTGTTCATGATAGTTAAAAAAAAGACCAAACCCAGATTGAGCAAAACCCATGAAATCGAACATCAAACTAAGCACAAAAACGCAAAGAAAGAGATGGGAACAGGCCAGCAAAAAATGAAAGAAAAAAAATTTGGACCATTTCTCGATTTGTGCGTGTCATCCTTGCGCAGGGGCCATGCTAATCTTCTCTGTATCGTTCCAATTTTATCGGATGTCCCCGAAGGGACAATTAATAAATGGCTGCTTGGTGGATATAAACTATTCGTTTTCTCTTTCTCTAGCTGGTGTGGGATGTTTAGTTGGTTCCCAACGGAATAATTAACTAGCCTATCTCATATTTATAGGGTCCTAACGTATGGGCTGGCCCAGTTCTTAGTCTTCTATATATTGTCTTGGCAAAATTGTTTAGGTAATAGTATCATCTGACATGATAATTTAGTCTTTTTAGATTGAAATTATTGATGTAATATTGTCGATAAGAAGTAAGTTCCATATCAAGGTTCAAGACAACTATACATGAGAGACTTTTTTTTAATGTTTTTGATAATCTTATCTACAAAAGATGTGGATCAAAAGCTGTATATTGAAAATTGTTGGATCATTTCTTTCTAATAAAGATATGATGATGAGCAATGGCCGGTGCTTACGGACATGATCAATGTTTTCCCCATTTCTTTACTCGGTTTCTTTTTGATTAGATCAATTACATATTCCATAAAGGTTGCATCACAAGGCATGATGAGATGCCCATTCCTTGGAAGTCCAAACTCTTATTCAACCAAATTGAACAGCACCATCACAATTTTGTTCTTTAGATATTCCAAAGGAAGCACAAAACACTTCTGATCTACGCTGTATACGACAAAGTGATCCTCGTCGACCACCAATGATGTGCTGCAACTGGTTGTTTCAGCTTCTCTGGTGGTTCCTGGTAATGTGATTCTTTTTCTCCTAATTGAAGCTATATTTTTCCATTTTCTAGCTAATTTGATAAGCTTCTTGGTACTGATCATCTTGTTTTACTTTGTGTAATTGGAAAGACTCGGATGAAAGAGAAAAAAAAGGGAAGTTTTAGGTCTTAGAACTCTAATTGCTAAATGAAGCTGTTGTGCTTGATATGAGGCAATGGAATTGGGAAGAATGTATAATCACAAGGTCTAGAGACATCCCTTTAATGCATTATTAAATTTCAGGTATTCATTAGAAACAAAGCCATGTGATGTCATATTATGTCTAATCTGCAAGGGGGCTTGCCTGCTTTTATTGGATGATTAGTTCCAACAAGATGGAGCATACCAGTGGCTGCTGGCACATCTTTATCCATCTGCCAAGTGGTTTGACAATATGATCCAGTCCTGCAATAATATTGATTAATTTAAATAGTAATAAGAAGCCTTCACTCAAGCAAATTGCCACCTGTACCTTGTCTCTGTTCAAATCCAATCAATTTCATGACCTTCCTGTCACTTATCCATGGGGACAATCTCATCAATGTAGCTCTCAATGAATGCAAAACCATGTGATGGTAGGAGAGGCATACATCATATTTGATAATCATACTAGTTTTTTCTATTGGCACATGGAGTTTGAATGTAAAGAGAACATCGTCCTACTAGTTGTCTTGTACAAAATAAACCATGAGTCACAAGATGAACAATAAAGACTGTGTACTTGAAGAAGAATGAATCTCAGGGCAATATTATAGGACCATGACTAACTTTAAGAGTTCAACAAATATGTTATTGCTGAGATATGATAAGGGCATGATATGGTGCTTCTGATCTGTGGTTTAGATGACAAAATGACCTTTTTCAGCCACCGAAGATTCGTCAACTCACCTGCTATAACTTTTGCACTGGACGTCCCCAGTAAAAAAAATTATTTTTCTCCCCTTGACAGTCATTTTCTGCCACTTCCTTGCCATTCTGTTAAGTTTCTTGCTGCTATTGATCATTTTGGCTGTAATCTTTACCTTATAAATGTAAGTACGCCTTTGCTAAAAAAAACCCAGAAACGGCATTGAAATTCCTATTGATGGATGACACAATCAAAATTTCACTTCATCTGAAAACTTCCTGTACTTGAAGTTGTTTACTGTTGAAGAATTCTATGCAAAAATAGAGTTAGCTATTACTATTTTTCTTGGACTAGAAAACTTCATGCTTTGCATTGCATTGCATTGCATTGCACTGATATAAACTGAGTCGCAAGAGTTGCACCTTCAGTGCTACAACTAAATATGTTCTCATATGTTGGTTAAACCCTATGTGTTGTACTTCTTATTGTAATTCTTATTAGAGAACTTAAGAAGATTGGTTTACTATCTATACTAATATAATAATAACTCTTCAGTTTCACAAGAATCCTAATGTATTTTTTTTTCTGTTTCAATTCCCAGGAACAAGCATTGAAATACTGTTACCATACATGGTTGATAGACTAAAAGATACCGAACAATGAAACGACATTGAACTTTGGAGCCTTGAGAAAAAATAGATTAAGATAATACATGGAAAATAAATGAGCATATGCCATTACTAGTTCATCTGCAGGATGTTACCGCTGGTGCAAAGTCATTAAACTGTCGCAGATAAAAAAACCTTGGAAAAAGTAAAAGGAAAAGGGAGTTTGATTTGTGTATCATTGCCAGTCCTGATGAGAGAAGAAAGTTAGGCTGCTGAATTAATTCAGGTCACATTGAGAATTTCTTGGAAGGGACAACCTTTATGCATTCAAAGTGACAAGCTGGCAGTCATTAGAGTCTGAATTAGCAAGACAAGTACATGAAATTGTGGCCATTCTAACCTCTTTCAGCAACTCAACTGCAGGTGAACTTTGACCTTTCAATTCAAATGCATTCCTCAATGGTGCCAAATTCCAAATTTATCCTGCAGCATTTGGCCCTTCAATTCTGGTGAAACCAGAAGGTTATCACTGATGGATGCAAAATTTTTAGCATATTAGTATACAAATTCTACTCATGAACACAATGACCAGTAAAAATTGTAATTGGCCTCAAGGGAAACTATTTGATCTATTTATAAAGAAATCAACTATGAACACTGCAAGAATGAAAGCCTCCATTAAGCATAGCCAAGCTCAAGTAATCTATAATCACTACTAGTTACCAGCAATCAAAGTTGTATAATTATTTTGAACCTACAATGAAAACCCACGAGCTAAATCAACAAACTATCTCAAATCACTAACAATAAATGTCTGAATCATACTCACTGTTCATGATAGTTAAAAAAACCAAACCCAGATTGAACAAAACCCATGAAATCGAACATCAAACTAAGCAAAAAAACGCAAAGAAAATGGTCAGAGAAAGATGGAAACAGACCAGCAGGAAAGGAAATCGAGAAACAGGCCACCAAAAAATGAGAAAAAAATTAGGACCATTTCTCAATTTGTGCGTGTCATCCTTGCGCAGCAGGGGCCATGCTAATCTTCTCTGTATCGTTCCAATTTTATCGGATGTCCCCGAAGGGACAATTATGAGACGGCTGCTTGGTGCATATAAACTATTCGTTTTCTGTTTCTCTAGCTGGTGTGGGATGTTTAGTCGGTTTCCAACTGAATCATGAATTGACCTATGTCATCTTTATAAGGTCCTAACGTGTGGGCTGGCCCAGACTTGGGTGTTGCACAAAACAAAAGCCATGGGCTTGTAGACGTGGCTGAAGACAGAGACCCTCTTCATTCAGACAAGAGTTGTATTAAAGTATATAGATTGGTTTAGATTTTACTTTAAGATTAAAATGCTGGTAATTGGTCAAGTTGAATAATGATCAATTTATGAAGATTTTCAACAATTGTATTCAGGGATGTACTCATTTTTACATGATCAAAAACTTGTTTATTGTTTTGATTTCACAAGTAACAAAAGATTTGAGGCCAAGCCACTATCTTTGTTTATGAAACATTTGGGTCTTCAATTCTTGGATGATGAACTCACTCAGTAGCTTCTTTAGGCTTCTTTGAAGCTCCAAATCTCCAGAACAATGCATTAATAGGAAACACCTTAGAATTGCCGGTTCTTCCAAACATGAATATGACCATCTAAATATATAGAAAAACTTAGCAAATATACAAAATACCCTTTCCAAAAACATACCTGCATCTAACACTCACCCGAGTGCAAGTAGCATATGTCTCGATTAACATCATCATTCAGATCCTGCAAGCATGTCATATTGTCAACTTGAGCTTAATCTTTGGGGAAACTGTAGCAAGCATAAACCAGCTAAAATCTTATAATTTAATGATAAAAAATATCTCTGTATCATTTTCAAAACCATGATTTTCAGATACTCAATTGACCAACCAAGATTAACAAGGGAAACTGTTTGATCAAATTGATTCCATAACCCAATCATGAATAGATTCTTTTATGGATATGATTTTAACTCTCAATTAAGATGAACATCAAACTAAGCATACAAATGGAAAGTAAAGAGAGATGGAAACTGACCTGCAAACTGTTCACAAGAGAAAATAGTAAAAGATATGTTTGGGCCGCTTCATCGATTTTCCATCACGCTGATCGACAATGTATGCTGGTATCTTAATCTGATTCAAATGGATATAGCGTATTTGGTTAGATTCCAAGTAAAACCTGAAGCTGAATTAGTTCATATCACACTGAACAAGGCCTCTAAATGATAAGAAAGCAAAAAGACTAAATGCTGAAGCTAAATTAGTTCAGGACAGACTGAGAATTTCTTCAAGGGACAAACTGACCCCTTCAGTATATCACCTACAGGTAAATTTTTAGCTTTATATTCAAATTCGTTCCTCAATGGCTACCAAATTTCAATTCATCCTACAACGTTTGTGTACTCTGAATTTGGTAAATAAACCACAAGGCTATCACTGATGACTACGGACTTTTAGCACATTATGTATAGAAATTCTGATCAACATCACATTCTCCAGTCGCAGAGCTTTATTGAATAGAAAGAAAAATCAAATGGTTAAGACTTAAGATACAAAATGAAGTCCAATTCCTACACAGTAACACAGAGCTTAAATATTCAGCATTCATTAAGGGCATATTTTGCAGAACTCCTTTAAACGTAGCCAAATACAAGTAGTTAGTCTTCCTACAAATTACCAGCTATCAAATTTCTATAGCCATATGGAATTTACAACAACAACCCATGAAGTTGCACATCAAACGAAGCATCAAACTAGCCAATCTAATCCTATCTAAGAGAAGATTACAGTAAAAAGAAACATCTATTGGGCAGATACAGTGTTTTATGGTTGCAGACTGAGTAGGAATGGGCAGTAAGCCTTTGAGATCGTCTCTCTCAAAACAAACTTAATCTCGCTTAAGACATTTTTCCAAAAATTTTGAAATTTTTGAAACAAAATTGATCTCACATGAGATAGTTTTCCAAAAAAAAATTTTGTCTCACTTGAGACAGTTTTCCCTCAAAACACAAAATTTGGAAATTGTTTGACTTGAAACAAAATTAATAAACCTTTGAGATTGTTTCTCTCGAAAAAATGTTTCATCTCGCTAGAGACATTTTTCTAAAAATAAAATTGATCTCACTTGAGATTGTTTTCTTAAAAATAAATTTTGTCTCGTTTGAGACAATTTTCTCTAAAAATAAATTTTGTCTCGCTAGACGTCCTCATCACGTAGGAAAAATGTCATCCACCGAGCATATCTCCTCATCACGTAGGAGCAGCGTCATTCTCAAATAACCAGACTTCCTCATCATGTTGGAACCATGTTGTCCCCCAAATTATCCCTAAAGATAGCTAGACGTCCTCATCACGTAGGAACAATATCATCCACCGACCAGATCTCTTCATCACGTAGGAGCATAGTCACCCTTAAATAACCAGATTTTCTCATCACGTAGGAACCTTGTTGTCTCCAAATTTACCTAAAAACGACCAGAACTCTTCATCACGGATGAGCAGTGTCGTCTTCAACACCAAATTATCTCCAAATTGACCAGATTTCCTCAACGAGAATGAACATCGTCATCTTCAACAAACATTTACTTGAAAACGGCTATACCTCTTCAACATGGATGAGCAGTCTCATCTTTTATATCAAATTTCAAAGCCTAAGAAATAACCGGAAAAAAAACTTGTTGCCTTTGCCCTATTCTTGTTAACACAATAATGTGCAAAGAGGGGCAGCTGTAGACACTCGTTTTTGTCCGGATCTTATTTGATAATTATCATTTCCAATTATTAATTAAATATTATTATTATCATTATTATTACTAATATTATTATTTATTTTCATATTATAGTTAGCCTAAATATAACAACCCGTAGCCTACAAGGACAAATCCCAACAGTACAAGCCCACCTGGTTCAAGCATTCAAGCCTAACAACAAGCCAACCCGACCCAAGATCTGACCCGTTTCAGGCTCAGAATGAAGCCCGTTGCAACCCAAACCCACTAGGGTTTTACCCTTTTCTGCTTCAGCCACATCATGCAATAAATGTTGGATCGAATTTGATCAAACGGTTCAAGTTGACCCAGATTAGGGTTTTTTCATAACCCTTAAGACACCAGCAGCCGTTGTTACCATCAACAGTGAATGTGGATCGTCCATCATCGGCGCGTGTACCAACTTTTCAATTCCCAGATCGACGCGTGAACTTCACCTCTCACCTTCCTCACTGCTCTAAGAATCAGTACACACACTTTTATTCAACCAATAAAAGATGATTACAAGCCTTACAATCCCTGCACCTTATATACGAGCTTTACTAAGCTTAAACTAACAGAATTTCATAACAACAATCTGTTATGTTAACCAACTAGCTTATAGACTCTTATTAATTCTATAACCATCTCAACCATATCATGGATGAGCATGCATGGAAGCACGCCTGGGACTGTTGCATACATATGCAGTGCAGTAACTCTCAACATTCCCCCTGCTTCTTCTTCTCTTATGTTCTTCTGACCTTGAACACATTATTACAGCAAGCTCTAAAAACTAATTAACTCTAATTTCTAGCATTCAACCTTTTTGATGAAAAAATGAACAATTGAATCGAAAGTGATTATGCTTCCGTTCACTTGAATCGAAAGTGCCGATGCTTCCTTTCGTTCTTCTTGAATCGAAAGTGTCGATGCTTCCTTCTGTTCACTTGAATCGAAAGTGTCGATGCTTTCTTTCGTTCTTCTTATTCACCTTCATTTCTTTCCTCTTCATCCTCATATACAAGGATCCTTGACACACTTTTTTTTTCGGGACGAGCAGAGTGCATGAAAATGGAATTGGGAGGCAGGATCAGGGACAAGTGCGGAGATCATCTTGCACACCAGAAGAAGACCTTCTTGGATGGGTTCACCCCGTCCTTGAGTTTGACTCGATTCGCGGACAACTTGCCTTTATACGCATCGGAGTTTAGGGCTTTTCGGCTTACATTGGTGTAGATTTCCCTGATGACGATCTCGAAAGCAGTCTGAACGTTGGTAGATTCGAGGGCCGATGTCTCTATGAAGAACAAGCCTTCTTCTTCAGCAAGGCTCTTGCCTTCCTCCATGCTTACTTCTCTAATGTTCTCCAAATCACATTTGTTCCCTACCAGCATTCTTGTCACGGTAGTATCACAATGCGTGGTAAGTTCATCAAGCCAGCGTTTAATGCTGTCGAAGCTACTACGCCTACTGATATCATAAACAATAAGAGCACTAACAACGCCTCTATAGTAAGCGAAAGTAACAGCTCTGAACCTTTCTTGACCAGCAGTGTCCCAGATCTGTGCTTTAATTTCTCTACTCCAATGGTAGCCTTTGAGTTGTTGTCGAACTCGTTCCTTGCGAAATGCGACAAGAGGTTCGATTTTCCCACGACCGAGTCGCCGATCAACAAGATCTTGAACAAGTACTCCTCGACTCCTCCCTCTTTTTCATGCCCACCCATGTCTCTGCTATGTGTGAGAAAGGTGTCATCAATGGCAAGGTGAGCATAAACCAGTTTAGTCTCCGTACACCGGCGGCCTTCCATTTTAAACGGCGCTGGAAACGGAAGCCGGCGACAACGGAGGAGGAGGACGACGAACTCAATGTAGCGAATGAGCAACAAGGTCAGGACCATTTGGCGATTGATACCATGTTGAGAAAACAAGCAAGCTCTAAGAATCAGTATACACATTTTTATTCAACCAATAAAAGATGATTACAAGCCTTACAATCCCTGCACCTTATATACCAGCTTTACTAAGCTTAAACTAACAGAATTTCATAACAACAATCTGTTATGTTAACCAACTAGCTTCTAGACTCTTATTAATTCTATAACCATCTCAACCATATCATGCATGAGCATGCATGGAAGCACGCCTGGGACTGCTGCATACATATGCAGTGCAGTAACTCTCAACATTCCCCTTGCTTCTTCTTCTCTTATGTTCTTTTTGACCTTGAACACACTATTACAGCAAGCTCTAAAAACTAATTACAGCTAATTTCTAACATTCAACCTTTTTGATGAAAAAATGAACAATTGAATCGAAAATGCTTATGCTTCCTTTCGTTCACTTGAATCGAAAGTGCCGATGCTTCATTTCGTTCTTCTTGAATCGAAAGTGTCGATGCTTCCTTCTGTTCACTTGAATCGAAAGTGTCGATGCTTTCTTTCGTTCTTCTTATTCACCTTCATTTCTTTCCTCTTCATCCTCTTATACAAGGATCTTTGACAGACTTTTTTTTTTTCGGGACGAGCAGAGTGCATGGAAATGAAATTGGGAGGCAGAATCAGGGACAAGTGCGGAGATCATCTTGCACAGTAGGAGAAGACCTCCTTGGATGGGTTCACCCCGTCCTTGAGTTTGACTCGATTCGCGAACAACTTGTCTTTATACGCATCGGAGTTGAGGGCTTTTCGGCTTACATTGGTGTAGATTTCCTGGATGACGATCTCGAAAGAAGTCTGAACGTTGGTAGATTCGAGGGCCGATGTCTCCATGAAGAACAAGCCTTCTTCTTCATCAAGGCTCTTGCCTTCCTCCACGCTTACTTCTCTAATGTTCTCCAAATCACATTTGTTCCCTACCAGTATTCTTGTCACGGTAGTATCACAATGCGTGGTGAGTTCATCAAGCCAGCGTTTAATTCTGTCAAAGTTACTACGCCTACTGATATCATAAACAATAAGAGCACCAACAACGTCTCTATAGTAAGCGGGAGTAACAGCTCTGAACCTTTCTTGACCAGCAGTATCCCATATATGTGCTTTAATTTCCTTGCCATTAATTTCCACGCATTAGGTATGGAACTCTACTCTAATGGTAGCCTTTGAGTTGTTATCGAACTCGTTCCTTGCGAAACACGACAAGAGGTTCGATTTTCCCACGACCGAGTCACCGATCAGTACGATCTTGAACAAGTACTCTTCGCCTTCTCCCTCTTCTTCATGCCCACCCATGTCTCTGCTATGTGTGAGAAAGGTGCCATCAATGGCAAGGTGAGCATGAACCGGTTTAGTCACTGTACGCCGGCGGCCTTCCATTTTAAGCGGCGCTGGAAACGAAAGCCGGCGGCAACGGAGGAGGAGGAGGACGAACTCAACGCAGCGAATGAACA